CCCATATCATTAATAAATTATTATTTTATTTAAAAAATACTAAATACAATTAAATTTTCCAGGCAAATTTGCCTGGATTACAGTTTAAGGGATAGTATTTTGTAATACTTTTAAATGATAAAAATCATTTATGCTCCTGCTTTGAATATTGTAATTGTGAATTGTTTGCTACCATTTTTTTCAGGTTATGCTATATATACAGGCTGCAACATTCTATATTTAGCTTATTAGGTCATGATAGTACAAAGTATCTAATAATAATCCAGCACAAGAACTATTTTTAGTTGCACAGAAATTTGAAACAGAGCAATCAGTAACAATGGGTTGAAATAGTTCAGTTTCTCATTTTAATGCTTTAATTCAAGGTTCTGTATATGAAATGCAGAATATGAATTACAAGACTATAGATGAATATAAACTATATAAGGAGGCATGGGTCAAGGCAAAAGCAGCCTTAATGATGGTTGTTCGAAAACGTGATTATAATTTTATTGCTATTCTTGACAAATATATGGAGGATTATCAGAAAGATCTATCTTCTAATAGTGATAGTGATATGGTTCAAATAGCAAGGTTGAACAGAATTTGAATCCAAAAGAGTTAATGAATCCTCATAAGCGTAAAGCCAAAGGTTGACCCAAGGGAACTGATAGAATGCATCATGCAAATGAGCTACTGAAAAAAAAAAAGTGCAAATTACATTGTAAAAATTTGTGGAGGTACTGGTCATAATCAGGTGACTTGTTTTAAAAGATAGGAATTATAATTTTATACTGTATATATAGATAGTAAAATAGCTATAAGCAATATATACTGCTAAGTATTGTTAATATAAATGATGCCAAAAAAGCCAGAAAATTTGAAGTTTATTAGTTTTCTTTTTAGTATCATTTTAAGTTGCTTTCAGAATTGTTGAATTAAAAATCAAAGATTTAATTTAATTTAATATAAGTACTAACTGCTGTATTTGAAGTTAGTATCTGCTTGAAGTCAGAGTTAGTTTTAGTTAGTGTGCCTAAATTGTTAACTTTGAGCGGATGTCACACAATACTACCAACTTAAAAATCTCACTGTAATACAAATATCAAAATTTTAACATTTTGGTTGCAAAAGTACCTTTCTAAATCTAGTAGTGAAATTTAAAATTCTTATGTTTGGTGATACTAATTTTAAAAGTTTTGCTTTTATTTGAATAAGATTTATCATAAGGCAGAATACTGATATCGATAAAATGAATATAATAATTATAATGTTCATTTTCAGTATTATAATTCAAATAGCAGACTTATATTGGAGTTAGAAGGTAAGGTTATGATTATAGTTGTGTTGCATATTATAATAAATGAGTACTATAAAGCTAAAACCTGCAAATCTTATAAATTTTGCAGGTTTTAGCTTTGCAGCACTCAAATATGCATTACTAGACTTGTGTGATTATAAAATTTGCTAAAATGATCAGGATAGCAATAGTTATTGATAATAGAACAGATTACTTTTAACTTTCATATAGGCAGAAATCTTCAAATATTGATTATATGACACAGGCAAAATCTTTTAAAGTTTATTAATGTTAGGATTAGCATTTAGAAGAAGGTTAGAAGCTAAGTACTTATATAGTAAAATTGCCCAAAGAACATTTTTTGTTAAAGTACCAAAGGTGGTTTTTGATTCAAGTTTTTGAAAAATAAACAATTTTCAATGAAATGAACTACATTTAATTCTTGAAATCTGATTTGTAGATCATGAGATCTGCACTATAATAATTGAACAATTTAATTTAATAGCAACCAGCTTTATTATTACTATTACTACGTATTTAGTATTAAATTATATTATATATAATATATGTATTAATAATATTAATAATATATAAATAAATATTATAACTTATATAAATCATATATGATAGTATAGCATTATAATGCTGTAGCGCTATAAAATAAATTCCCTTTATTATAATCAAAAAAATAATTTTTACAACTTTTAAAACCTTCTACTTTTATTATTTCTCTTTATTTTATTATCACCCAAATCAAATACCTACTAATCTACCCATCTTTATCATCAAAATCCAAATCTAAAATTGCTTCTTCTTCTTTGACAACTTTTCTTTCTTTCTTATTTTTTAATCTAAAATTATTAAAATTTCTTTTTTTTTTCTTCGGTAATCCTGTTTACTTTATTATAGAAACAGACTTTCATCCTTACACAGCATAAAAAATTTAAATCTATAAGAGTTCTAACCAAAATATAAACTCACTCACAGCATACCTCACAGATGCCGTAACATCCACTTGTGGTCAGGGCAATCCATTAAACTGCTATGTTTTGCTCAAATGCAACCTGCCTAGCAATACTTGGCCTCCTTCAGAGATTCGAAACTCACTCCAGACTTATTTCTCTCAGATTCCTCAGCTAGCTGTTGCTTGCCTCGTCAAGATTCACACCCTACAATAAAATGCTGCAAACTGATGACACTTTTTCGTAAGGAAGGAAAAAAGAAAAAAAAAGGGATAATGGAAAATGAAAAAAGGAATAAAAAATAAAACTAATACATCAAAGAAAATGGATACTAATACTAAGGAATATAAAAAAACTAAACTAAAACCTAAA